AACAAAGACAAAATCCTGCATGCATAGTGATTAACATCTTATTAGGCTAAGCAGGCACTCAACTACTGTAAGTCATAGTGATCAAACCAGAGACCCGGATTATGTATGTGTAAAATGTATGCACTTTCAGGGCTGCATGGTGGTACAGTGGGCATTGCTGTTGCCTTGCGAAAAGGTCCTGGCAAGGGGTATTTCTGTATGGAGTTATCATGTTGCATGCCAGCGTTCTCTCCGGGTACTCTGGCTTCCTCCCACAGTCCAAAAGCATGACTGTTAGGTTATTTGGCTGCTCTAAATTATCCTTAGGAATGATTGTGTGTGTGAATCGTTGTGTGTCTTTGTGTGTCTCTGTGTTGCCCTGCGACAGACTGGTGACCTGTCAAGGATGTACCCCACCCCTTGGCCATTGACAGCTGGAGATAGACACCAGCCCAAGGGCGACCCTGACGAGGACTTAGTGGGAGAAAATGGATGGTTGGATATATCCATTTTCATGTTTTTAAAGCCAAAAGAAATCTTAATAGGCAATGATTACTCAACTTAAATACAGTAAAACAAAATGAATGACTCTCTTATCCAGCATTTAGAAAGAATATGTAGGACTGAAATGTATCCATTTGTCCCTTTTTCTTCCTCATGACGGTTGCAAGGGGTGGTGGATGATATATCTGAAGAAAAAAAAAGATTGTATGTTAATGCCTAAAAGGAATTTTATACTGCTGAGCACCTAAATGGTCTTTAGTTATACTAGATACATCTCAAACCATTTCTCTTTGAGAATCTGCACATGAACATGGTACAAAAAAGTTTTTTTTTATGGAAAGGGACAAAAGTTTGGTGGAGATGTGCCACTTCCACTGACACCATTGGGGTTTGAGTTTTGATATGCAAAGCACAATATATTAAAGAAGAAATATTTTAATAAAGTCAAATAGGCAACACCTATATGACGTCCCTATGCTCCTATGCATTTCAAAATTTAATTCTAGGGAAAATTAGAAATACCTACCAATTTCAACCTTTGAAGACAAAGTTAAGGTGTATTTAGTATTTCATACATAGCTTGTGGTTTTTGGTTTCTTCTTTTCTTGAACAATAGAGATAAAATAGAGTCTGCTGAGTGTTATATACACCCTTGCTAAATTTTAATATGTTTTTGCCTGATAAAGACCACATTACTTTTCATGAAAGATAAAATGGTAGATTTAAAATAAGGGTTTACTTTTCTATCCCAACTTCATAAATACATAGGGCCCTCGATATTAATTTTGGATCGAAAGTAAAATACAAGAGAAAAGTCTGAATAAAAATACAGATGTTTTATTCATAGATAGAGAGATCTGAAGCAGATGTGTAGCAACTCTGTCTCACATTATCCTGTTTCCTGACAGGGGCCAAATATGGAAAAGCTTCAAAAATGTGAAAAATGTGAAGCAATCACCTTTAATAAAGCACTCCCAAACTTGTTTTATCAGGAAAATACATACAGAAAACAAAAAAAAATTAAAATAACACAAAAAAAATGGCATTCACTCTCTCCAAAAAACCTCTTGGGAGCTTAGAATTGTCTCCTTTAGATGACCAATGGCCAGATACAGGATTGTTTGTCACTTACCTTTTCCTCCTCATGTGCAAGTCTCCATTGTTATGTACAATGCAGCACGTGTTGTTATTTCCCTCTCTTTTAAAGACCTTGCAAGGTTTTACAATCTTCTTCACAAAAAGAGCCATGACCTCAGACCTCAGCACTTTTCTTGCAGAACAGTGAGTAAAAAAAATGCACTGAAGCAGAAATTTGGAAGGAGGAACTTCCTTTCAAAAACAGTAAGTAGAGACTGAGAGCATTTCTACTGATGCAATCAATTATCTTACCTTTTTTTAAACAGAAAGAAAACCAAACAGAGTATCACTATCTAAAGAAAGTATTCTCTCATTCTGATAAAAATATTAAATGTTTTGTCATTTTTTGCCTTTCAGTTTATTAAATCGATTTAAAACCAAAGTGCATGGCTGACTTTGAAATGCGATTTCACTGACACTATAGGATGGCATTTCAAAGCATTATCTCAGGAAATATTGACAAAGTTTAAACAGCAACAATTTTTAACTTGTCAAAACTGATCAGGAATTTGAACTTAGGTTTGACCGAAGGAAAAGAAACCCCCCCAAAAAACGCTGTTAACAGTCTTTTTTTTTACATCACAGGCTGCAAATCATACATGGGGTTCTACAAGGTTCCATATTGGGGTCCCTCCTATTCAATATCTACATGATTCCCCCAAGCTAATATTATAGTATACAGCAACATGTTACCATAACTATGCAGATAACACACAACTCTACAATGTAATGTCCCCAATGTCTAAAAGCATTGAAGAAATTATTGTATGGATGTGCCTTAATTTTATTTAGCTGAATCAAAACAGAAGTAACAAGATCCTTTTTGATCCAAGGAGGAGCAACAAGTCAGTTGTTAAAAGTAGAAAGCACTGATCGGGCTTGAAAATCTGGGTTTGCTGTAGCGATGGGCTCGAACCTGGGGAATATCGAGACAGAAATATTCAAAATAGGTCTATGTATTTTTTTGATCTTCAACATCAATAGTAAAATAATGAAATATTTATTCTGGAGTTGGATTGATCTCTGCAGCGAATGGCTTCATGGGTCTGCCTAAAATGACAATCAGATGGATGCTGTTGATGAAGAATGCTGGAGCCCTCATCCTCACTACAACTAAAAACATAGAGAACATAACCTCAGTTTTACATTTAGCACCAAAATATATTACCGTACACATATATTGTCAGTGTCTCTAAACTGGAACAAACTCATAATAAAACTGTGAACATGTTGTAGCCCAAACCTTCTTTACACCAAGGTTAAAACCAGATTGTGTACAGATGCGTCTGATTGTTCTATTTAAACTGTAGAATAAAAGATTATTAGTTTAGGTTTGAAGTCAAAATTTTCTTACTATCCTCTAGTATGCCCTTTACAGTGTCAGTTTCTCTGTGGTTACTTGAATATATATATATTTTTTTGTTCTGTTACAACACTGTCATTTTATTCGCTAGAGAAATGTGCTATACAAATTAGCTTTCCTTGCTTTACACCCCGGACAGGTCACCATTCAATCACAGGGCATTCATCCTCATACCTAAGGGCGGTTTGGAAATACCAATCAACCTTATGGTCATGTTGTTATACCGTGGGAGGAGGGCTTGGTCACTGGAGAGAAACCACACATGCATTAAGAGAAGATGCAGAAAAACCCTAGGCTTAGGTTTGAACTCAGGACCTTGCTGCAAGGCAATAGTGCTACAATCTGGACCACCGTGCAGCCCACTCTACAGTATTAGAATAAATATATAAATACATTTTTGTTTTCAGTGCAAGAAACTTAATTAGTAGAAACTACTAAATACCTTTATCCCTCATACAAATACAATTAAACAAACCAACCAAGCAAAGAAACAAAAATAAAAAAACAGAAGCAAATGCCTACCATAAATTGCATAGCTGTTACCCTGAACTTAAGTGCAGTAACTGTAATATGGTAGAATAGCAGAACAACACAATATACTATATAAACTGTTTAAGAAAAAAAAAAATCTGTTTAATTCTTAACTGCAATATTTTTGTATACTTTTTGCCTGCTGTGGTCTTTATTATAGGGAAGCACATTATCTACAACTACACTGAAACACTCAATTTAATCTTAAAAGACCATACCACCTAAAACTGTAGGGCTAATATCAAATTATCCCTCTCTCTTCTACCAAATTAATACGTTTAGTATTATTCTTTTTTTTTTTTAAGCAAACATTTTTTATTGTACCACTTCTTAACTGTAAAGAGTGTATTCACAATAGATTTTATAAGAATTTAGTCATTTCCAGAACACTTCTGTTTTATTGGCATTTGCAATTAAAACTGATTGTAGTTACTTCACAAAAGTCACTAATACAAAAAGAATATGTTAAGGTCTCAATCAGTTACTGAACTTTGCCCCATCCACATGTAATTTACTCTATTTTAACCATAATAGTTTGTCGTTAAAGTATGTAGAAGGTCTTGACCCTATTTAATGTTTAATGTCAAAGTTTTTGGCTTTATTTTGTACTCAAAAACTGCAAGTCAAATGCTTTGTCATCAAAGAAGCAACATTTTCCCTCTGCAGTCGGTCTGTACCAGTCATTTTTGTACAGCTTCTGCAATAGAAGTAATCTGAATAAAATCTATAAAGCAGCACATACTGTAATGAGATAATAAAGAGCTCCCAGCTTTTCTGGTTTGTTAAACTTCCACAGCATTCAGATGGCGTTAAGGTATAATCTTTTTTATCCCTACCCATCTTTGTCCCTGATATTTCCCTCAAGACATCCAACTAAAGCATGTCTTGGAACATAAACAAGGAAGGGAATAAGATGGATTAGTATGAGAGTTAAACTTAAAGATACAGGAAGTTCAGGATGTGGCACTATTGTTCCATGGTCATCTCTTTTCCTTTCAGGGCGTCAGAGGCCTTTTCTCCCTGTTCAATGTGGGGATCTGACATTAAACAAAACATCTTGTCGCCTCAAGTATCCAGTCACATTTCCTATCTCAGCCAAACAACAGGGGAGAAAAGGTTTATATTTCGGATCAACAATGTAAGGTCTGTCATCTGAAGGGGAGAACTTCTACCAGACACACCCAAAATAGGAGATAAATGATAAATAAAGCAAATACAAACACGATTCTTTAGATTCTTACAGAAAACATCTGCAAGAAAAAAAAGACTAGTTACTGTTTCACCTAATTGTAAAAACAGGCCGTTATAATATTAAGAATCATATACTGCTTTCACTACATGTTGACTTCTTCCTGGTTTGGCACTCCTGCCTCTAACCAGGTCTAATCTGCTATTGGACAGAGAAGGGCAGGAGGAGGCGGGAGTGGAAGCACACCTTAGTTACCAAAGTTACTCATTAACATGTTGTTCTGGGAATGAGCTGCACAGCACACCTCCAACAACCTTTGCACAGCACTTCTCCATGTCACAGGCAAATGCAGAAGAAAATGTTAAGGCTGACTTAAAAAGTGTGGGAAGACGGTGAGCCGGTGTAATCTGATGCCGCCTGGATTCTGATAAACAGGCGACCAGGTGAGACTTTATATAAAGAGCTGGGCTTTTAGAAAAGACATTTTTAGTTGTATTTAAGGTAGATAAATGTTGGTCTACTGAATGCAAATATAACCAAATTATGCACAAAATTTCTGAAAAACCATGTAGCAAGCCTTATATTTGGCTAGAATTACACAGTTTAGAAATATTCAAAGGAAATTAAGCTAAGAGGTATATATACCCTCTTTAAAGGGCCTGACAGAATAAAAAGCAGGCCTGGTTTTTATGTTAAAAACATCTATACTAACGTCTTGTTAGTAAAGATCTTTAGTCTAGTTATGCTATCAATGTGTGTTTTTTTTCTCTCTAATCAAACATATTATTGATTCATAGCTAAAGTTGTTGCACCCTGACCATGTAGTTGGTTTGCTGTAACAAACGTCAGCTTGCTTTGGTGTATTTCAAAAGTCACTATGGGAATATGTCAGAGAGTTATCAGTAAAAGCTGGATAACTACAACAGGACAGTTTTAGATCTGCATTTAGGAAGATTGATCAGTTACAGACAGTCTAATATAATTTTTTTGTCAATTTTGTCTTTCAATGTCAAGAATTTGCTTGGCTGGTGTCAACAGTTTGGGCAGTTTAGTGAAACCTGTAACTCTCTTTCATCTAACCAACACAAAAATAAATACAGTATATTGACATGCACTAGTTAGTATGCTTGAGGTCAGAATCAATCTTCCCTTGACCTTATCATTATAACAGTGCCAAATATTAGAACTTTTTTTAGATTTATCATATGCATTCAATAATCAAACCTAAGAATTAATCTCTTTTTTCAAAATAAATGACATCAAACATTTTTTTTTCTTAGTTTAAAAATGGTCAGGGACTTATGTTCTGATGCATTTAGATAATCATGCTTTTCTTAGGTTGTTATCAAACCTCTGTTAAGGAACCTGCAGCAATTTATTCTCTCTCTACTTTTCCTCAGTGTTGCCAAAACTGGAATTGTCAAGTCAGACTGCAAAGAAAACAGGGAATCTGTGTTGTTTAGGAAAAGCCTGTTTGATGCATCCCCACATATGATTATTGTTTATTTTCTTTGTTTAGATATGCTTTTATAAAATGCTCTTATCTTATTTATGTACTTATACTTACCAGCATGTGGAAAATAATTATTCATAATGTAATTCTGCACCAGCAACAGCTGACCGTCGTTAGATCAATTCCTTCCATTTTACTGAATGTACAAACGCGTGAAAAAGAATACATTTACAGAATTTTGTGGCATCCATACCATAAAGGTTTGCAAAGTTTCAATTTGGAATTGTGCTGCAGGTTGAGAAGTATGTATTTTATTTGTATTTATATTATTTGTGTTTACATGAGTCCATATATGGAATCTAAAATGACTCGAGTGTTAAAAAGTAAATATCAAAACAGATTTTTTAAGAACCTTAATGCTGGACTGAGTTAGATAATCACACATATCAATAAAGTCTCTGTTAACGTTTGCTTAGGGCTCTGCAGCAAGATCCACCTGTTCTTTGCTGCTTTGGGTGCTGTTTCCTGCAGGCCTTTTACCATTTGTTTTAACAACTCTGCACCTCCAGGTGAGAAACTGGCTCTGATACTCTGACCTAAAATTAACACAATCATTACACATATGCAACATGTGCCAACCACAACCAACCCCCCCCACACACACAGAAACAGACACCCACACATGAATGATTATGAGAAGAAAGAATTCTCAGCGCTTAATAGATTCTATGACCAAATATTATCTTTAACTGTAAGTCAAACATAATAGTTGACTCTTTTTTAACATTTAAGAGAAAGCCTTAGTGTAGGACTAGGTGGAGGACTGGGACCAAAAGAATGTTTATTTTTACTGTAGGGTTTTCATCAACTGTAGGACTGAAGCTCTGAAACTTAAAAACATTTATAGTTACTATTGACAAAAACTGGATACATAGTTGCCAAGGGTTTGCATTTACTACACAAAACAAACATTTTCTTAAAGTCTCAGGAAACTTGTGCAACACAGGCAATTTAGCTACTTAATAAGTGATAATATTCAATATTTATTTAATAGTTTGTTACACTTCATGTGCATAATATAAAGGCTTTATTTAACTCAGCGAAATAAACCATATATTACACTTCTTACCCTTTTTCTATGTTACTCTCTACAAACAGACATCTAGACCATGATTTATGGCAACATCACACAGAGCAACCTAAACTGTTTCCTTCTTTAACACATTTTTGTATGGATGATTGTAGAAAAATATACATATCCAGATCTTTACTCATACATTCATGAAAAAACAGAACCAACCCTGTTATCTTTTGTTTTTTGTTCATTGTATTCTACAGTTAATATAGTTTTAGACCACTACATTTAAGATAACAAGGGTGGGCTTGTAAGCTTTTTTCCTGCAACTTTGCATTGATTCTCATGCAGTCACATACTGAAGAACACCCGAGGTGCACAGCAAAACCGCCCACACATGAAATGCATACTTCTGTCTCCTGCAGGTCTACGTCCTGCTCTGCCTGATGTGCATATTTTTTTTCTGCTTTGCTTATGTGAAGACAGAACAGGAAGAGATAAAGGCAGCCCTGTTGGCTTGTTTACAGCAAACAGTGCTGAAGAGAATGGCAGGACAAGATGAAGGGGAAAAGACCTAATGGCTGGAGTTGAGCTGCCAGTCCCCCCTCGCTAAGAAAAATCACCCCAGGGTCAACAAAATTAGCAAGACATGCTGAAACCTTAAAATATCCATAAGAAACTAAGAGGCACATTGGTCATTAGTCAAGTCATAAACTTAAGATGGAGGAACCAGGAAAGGAAAAAAAAATAAGAACATGATAAATTTCTCCAAAAAAAAAAAAAAAAAATAAACTATGCTGTTGTAAAAATACCCTTAAAGAACATAGTAAAAAGAAGGAAACATAACAAATTAACATAGCATGAAGAGACAGCAGTATGCAGAATGTTTAAGAGTATAGATCAGCAATTGGGCAGCAGGCGAGTAAAATTGAACAATTGCATCGTTTTTAGACTTCTGAGCCACAATTTGAGATGAAGCATTTCATCAGCTGATTCAGAACATTCAGGCTATTCTGGGAACTTCTTCGTTTTCAAAGATTTGCTCTTTGAGGGAACTGTTCAGCATAAAGATAACCCTAAAATAAAAAACCTATGGAAAGAACATAAACATACGTATGCTAAAATATCACACATGCATGGCAAAATATTGGCTCACTTGACCATATAAACATTGTAAATACAGTGCTAGACAGCACTATACAGGTACTTCAGACCATCACTGTATGGCTTTGATTTTGGGTATTGCGTATATAATTCTTTCCAGCCCCACATGTTTAGATACAGTATGTGCACCGAGCAGTGGGTCAAATTAAGCAAGGCATAAAACTAACATGCTTTTAGGATCACTGCAAATATACAGAACAGATACGGCTGAAACTGCTAGGTGGAGTAAAAATATAACTCCAATATGAATGGAGCATCATTGCAGCCAGCATTGCAACCTTAAACTTACAAACAGTTAAACTATACATTTACAAATAAAGTATAAAAAAAGATCAAATCATCTTTCATACGTTGAATGTAAACACAGTTTTTCCTTGTTTTGTTTTTTTTTTGCTCAGCAAGGATTTCTTCCACTTTCTAAATTACAAAATAATGACAAAAGGTTTTTTTTAGAGATTGTTTTGTTAATTTCTTTGAAGTAAGACATTTATATGAAGAATTTTCTTTTTTTTTTCCCCATTTCCAATTTTAGAAAGCTCAAGTGATGAGGCTTTGTAAACCTAATATAAATTCTATGATACCCTGGGCACCATTCTGAAGAAGAAGTGCTCTTTGTCCAAGAGATGATAATTTTTTTTATCAAAAAAATTACAAATTAAATTCCCAGAATCAAAACTTACAGTAAAACCCTCTGAATATACACGTTAAAACTGCTAAGAGGATGTCCTCCATAGTAAAACAAGTGCTGGTACAGTATGGGCTGAAAGGCCAGATCACCGTCCTGAAGTTTAATGTCACTAAAAATTAGAAAACAAAACCACCATCACACTTGGAAAAGAAAAGGGAGAGAATACAACCCTTAGGACACCATCCAGGTTGTTAAGAATGGAGATCACAGCATCATGTAACAAAATGGCTTTGTCACAAAGGAGCACTAAGTTTAAATATTAAAGCAACATCTTTACACATCAGCCAGGAAGTTGAAACTTGGGCAAAATGTGCTTCCTTCAGATGGACAATGACCCAAACATAAAGTAGAACCAAATTAGTTATAAAATGACTAACATCAGAGAGTCAAATTTGTGGGCAGAGAGGTAAATAAGATCGTGTTGGAGTAAAAACCAGTTCAATCAAGAAGAAAATAACAAAGTTTCATAGTATCGGGAACTTGTGTGACAATTCCCTAAAATCATAACAGATTAAAGAAAAGTTCTTGGAGAACAAAGGAAATTCATTTAAATTTTAGGATCTTTAAAAAGTCCCAATAAAAAATCTGCTCAAAACTATCCCATTCATTCTATCATCAGGGATGGAGCTAGATGGGGGGCCAGGGGTGGACAAAGCCACCCTTAGGCAATCATTGGCCACCCCTGTGGCCACCCCTACCACTTTTTCCCTCTAATACAGATGGTGGCAGCAGTAATACTCTGAAGTAGAAAATTCTAAACATTTAAAATTTTCATATATTAACAATTACTTGAAAACAAAAACACGGTGGTTAATGATGCACCTCAATATACTAACGTTAAAGATGATGAGTACAGATTTCATGCACTTTTCAGAACTAGATTTTGCGTATATGTGGTAAAGAGAAAATTATATGTCTCTGCTTATCATCTAGGAGTCTTTGGTGAGATCATGAATAAATAACTATTTTGATAAAAACGTATTAAATAATCAATTTATGTAGATATTTGTACTTGTAAATATCAGTTTTATACAGGATGATTATTGATAAAAGTACGTAAGCAACGGAAATGGAAAAGATGTTCGCCCCAGAACTCAAACCTGAAAATTTTTTATCCACTATCTAGAAAGCACGGATGTTTAAATATTTAAGTCTATTTGTTAGAAAAGGCTGAAGGATAGTGTGGTTAGTCTTTATTTAGAAAATATGGATGTTGTGCTTTGTAATTTTTCTGTTGTAACAGTATAGATTGACCCTGAGGTTCTGGCGTCTATCCACTTTTGGCCACCTCTAAGTGTACATTGGTTATTTCCTGGCCCCCTTTATTAACATTTTCCCCTTTATTAACATTTTAATAGAAATTTTTTTTAGTAATGCTAATGAAACCAGAATCTGCTTGATTTGATACCTCAGTGTAGAAAACAGATGCATTTAGAATTTTTTTGTGTGCAAAGAAACATAGCTTGGCGGTTTTCTTAACAGCTTGTTTAATCTGTCTTTTATTTTCAAATGTATATGTTGACTGAGATCATTAAAGTAACGTAGTGATTATATTCCTTTCAAACTGGATGTTTTGAACATATATTTATACTTTGGATACAGGAGAACTTTTCCTGCAGGTTCATGGATGCAAATGTCAGGGAAACATGTAAATATCTTCACATAAAGATCTACTGTTGACAACAAGTTTATATTTGCATTTAGAAAACCAACAACCAAAATGATGTCATCACAAAGTCAGCGTACTACATGCAAAAAGAGCAAAATAACTAAGTCCAGGCACTCGTTTCAAACAATCCTTGTTAATATTGAGTATTTTCTGTAAACCTAACATCACACTTTATCAAATCTACAAAGTTTTCTCAGCTGTGCCAGACAGGGAAATGCTTAAAGTGTTTCCATTTCCAGGTTTTGTGCTACACAAACCAGACTAAGACAGGGTGCCAAAGGCTGCAGTTGTTCTAGATTTGAGTACATTTCCTGTCGGTTCTGCTTCAATAAATAAATGTGAACAGCTTTCTTTTTTGTTGTTGCAAAATAAATAATGCATGCAGGCTTCCTTTTAATTGCCCTTTGATATTCCAACAGCCTGCAGCTTCTGTATTGTAGGGAGCAGTTAAACATGCACTCAGATCTACACATACTCATTTGGGTATTTCTCTGTGTTGCTGCCACACCTTTGAGGAATGTGGGACTTTCTGTTTGCGACACACTTTTCCTGCTGCAGATGGACTCCTGAGAGTTAATTCTTAATAATGACTTTTTAATAAATCAGCCTCTTTTTATGATGACATTTTACTTTAATGCACTGAGCGACATATTGAGATGATGTTATTGTATTGATTCTGATGAAGCATTTTTAAGGTTTTTTTGCAAAAAGTATTTTATACTCTCCTCTTTCTGCAGGACCTGGTTTGGTGCTTCAGGGGGAGTCTGGTGTATATTTAAGCTCTCCCCCACCTATCTGTCGGCACCAGTGGGTCCCCAGTCACTCAACTTTGCCATCTAGTGGAGCTCTGAAGGTGCAGCTCTGTTCTGGTGAAGGAAAACCAACCAGCTACCTCCCTCACCTGGAGAGTTGTATGCTCTGCACATTTTTTGAGGCATCATTTTCACCTTTTACCTACTGGGCGCACTGTAGCACGAAACAGCTGAGGAAAATAATGAAAAGCATGAACCTGAGTTTCCTGTGGATGTTGCAAAATACAAAGTGACCTATCTGGAATATATTGCCGCAGTGGGAGATTTCATCCAAATCCAAAACCTGTTATAAATAAAGACATAATCAGCAAATGGCATCATCAGTAAACGAAACATCCATACCACGACTAACAAATAACGGTAAGAGGAACATTTTCCTTTAACCTAATATCATTTTATTGTGTCACCTTAAGGATTTAACACAGAACCGCTTTTAATAAAAGCAAGAAAGCACCAGACATTCATACTGCTGCAACTTACTCTTACATATCAATCATTAATTATAAAAATACATTTATAAATAAAATATTATTATTATTTTAAAGAAATCCCTCCCGTTAATAAAGAAAAACTTTACCAAACATAACAGCTGTAATCAGAGCTGGGTAGAAATTGTACTCAAGAAAGAGTAGCAACACTTTAACATTATTTTTTGCTCAAGGAGAAGTAAAAATTAGTCATCCAAGAAATTACAAGTAACCGGACCGTAAAACAGTATTCGGTAAAAGGGCTACTTGAGTTTTGAGTAACTGTTGGATAATAACATCAGATTTAATGATTGTAAAGGATGCTGGAAAACAGACTTTATGTGCAAGTTCTGGCATTTTAAAGACTCAAATGCCTAAAGAATACAAATAAATGTCATGAATATACAAGAACAAATCCATGTAGAAGAAATACTTTTACCATTTTCCCAAAATAAAACTTGGAAAACCAATCCTTACAATGAGAACTGTATATATGCTAAGGCAGGGTGAAGAACTTCCACTGATAATATCTACTGTTAACCTGTATGTTTACCTGATTTTGGAATACCGGTAGTTCAAATAAGTTACAGATGACAGAGTAGTCAGAGATTTTAGGACTTTTTTTATACTTTAAAAGAATATTGCTTAAGCGAAACTAAAAGTACGGCACAGTAAACCTACTCCAAAAAGTACATTTTATTTTCCAATTATTTCTCTATTAAATGTGAGTAAATATAACGAATTACTACCCAACTCTAGTTATAACTTTAAATTTGACAATTCCAAAAAAGGCATGAAAAATATATAAATGTAAATAAATTATTACATGGCAACATTATAGCCTGATACTTAGCCAGTCATTCTGATGGATGATGAGTGGAGAGGAACAGAATCAAAGTTCCTGAAGGATCAGAGTAGTCTCTGTTATATACAAGCACTGGTGAACTTTTACCAAGGCCAAAGTCACCCTAGCTGTCTACCAAGAAATGTACTTTATGTTTCCATCAGATAGAAAAGTTTTTTTACTGTAAATTATGCTTATTTATTTATTTATTTATTTATTTATTTTTTATTTATTTATTTATTTATTTTGCACCAAACTGAACTTCATAAAAGCAACATTGCAAAATTTTTGTTGCACTACTGTGCTTAAATGGTAATCAAATCACCTGGCATAAACGCTATGATGAGTCTTAAGAGTTAACCAGAACCAAAGGCTTATGAAATACATGGATTGCTACTTTCAGTCAGTAAATTATACAAAAAGTATAGCTGAGAGAGTAATAAGTGCCATATTTCAATCTTAGATTCCACCCACCCCACCAGATAAAAGTTGCTCTCAACCACGCAGAAACAACATTGTGTATTTTTTTTACAATTATGACCCTCTCCTCATTTTTTAAATGATGTAGAAGTTACAGTCCAAAAAGTATTTCAATTCTTAGCACCTTTGGTTCTCTTTTGTTTGCTTGGCCACGATCATGGTTTTTGATTATTCTAATTATTTTATTATTTAATCTTTAATACTCTGTCACTACTGAAACGTTTGTCACATCAGCTCTACTTCTGCAGCTGTGTCTTGAGTATTTTATATTTACACTTTATTGCCAGTGTTTAACAAACCATAATTAACATTCATAGGTAGAATAACATAGATGATCACCTTAAGTCCAATGTCAAATTTTTCCTAGGTTTTCCTCCTGTTACTTAGCTGACCACCAGCGCTGGAGTTGCCTGATTCTATGCCTTATTTAACACCATTTTCTCTTGTGTAACATCATCATTAGGACTTGAAACATATCACAATATGAAACAAGTGTCTCAATTCTAAATCTATTACAATTACTTTTTAAGAGCTGAAACACACCCATAAGTAATGGGCAGTGTGATTTTAAATCACATTAAGTGAACACAGTATGTGATTTTCTGTGATGCTATCTTACAGGCACCACAGTAAGACCTTTACCAAAATATCCCCAACACAACTGGGAATTGTTGATTGGGGTACTGGTGACAGCCATCTCTGTCTCTCTTCTCCTGGCTCTTCTTGCCAAATGTCAGGTGATCCGACGTTACCTGGCCAGCTACAGGCACACACGCCTTAGGGAACTGGATACTGTCAGCCATTCTGACCAATCAGGTTGGTAATGAACTACAAGTCTGGCAATAAATTATTGATTGTTTTCATGTAAAGAATAATTTGAAGCGGGTAGAATTTTTGGACAGTTGGAGGAGGGTAATATAATGAAAACAATGTAAAATGCAGCCCTATATTTCCTCTCTGACCTGTTTTGCACTGTATATACACCTACATTCATTAGGAAATGGTATTTGTTTGCTGATCTTTACCATGTCACATCTATAACATTTAGAACTATGTTAAAAGTTTGTTTTTCTATCCCTTAAGAAGGACCATACAGCAAAATAACTTACACAGTATACAAAATGCAATATACTACAGCAATGAACAGCACAACAAAAATACAGCAAAAATAAAAGAAAATAGGCAGTCACAGATTGTGGTAATGTTTAAAATATTGTCAAAACTACCTGATTATGGTTACATTTCACTTTAACAACTATAAGAATAGTGACTCCTTCAGGAATGTTTCATTACTCCAAATTTTGGAAACAGAAGTGAAGGCATTTAATATAAATATAATTCCTTATTTGCATTTTTAAGTCAATGAATGGTGGGCAGTTAACGGCAGACTCTTATCGGGCAATAAAAAAAATATTGCTGTTGATCTATTCTCACAGTTGGTTTGGGAGCTGGGTCTATACTAATGATCACTTTCACCTTCATATTTTAACGGGGATGTATATCTGGGGCAAAAAGTAATCACTCTTCCTACCTGTGTAGGTGTACCGTGAAATTACCACATTGAACGTGAAGTGCTGACATGGATGCAACTATAAGTACAGCTCTGTTAGCCAAGCTAAACAATCTTCTCGCTCAGTGGATACTGTAGCCACAAGCTGCCAGCCCATCATCAACATGGCTGATCTGCTGGCAGCTTGTTTTCTAGGTGACCCATCTTACAAACTACCTACGAGGTGAACTACCATGAAAAGAACACATCCTAGACATTTCTATGGTATACATGACCAGCATCGAGGCAAAGTTTATTGAGGCAACGTGTGTTTCCGATTTTTTTGGAGAAACTATATTGTTAAAGTGGGACATCTATAATTGTAAGTGAGACACTCTATTTTTTGTAGCAAAAGCAAAGTCGTAAATAAGCAAATAAAGTATTTTTAACTTTGTCAAAATCATAAGTAAGAAAACAGAATTATGTCTGATTTTGCAAACATTAAAAAAGTATTAAAAGTTTCTTTTAAATTTTGGAGGTAGCACTGAGATTAATCTAGATATATATATAGATATAAAAGTGTCCTATAAACACGCAGTTTATAGGACACTTTTACGTCTCTGGCGTGGTGTTGCCTCAGGGTCCCCCCTGAGCATACTGCATGCATACAGAGTTAAATATTTTAAGTTATTATTTCTAAATAATTTGATTACAGGTTAATGCTAAAAATAATAAGAATCTGTTTGTGAATTCTTTTTTTTAACACTAAGGCCCATTTGAAAAATATTTCTGTCCATATATGTCCATGTAAAGCACATTGGTCAAATTGTGCCCTCTTTTGTGTGAATTGCAATCACAGTCAGCTTTTTTGTGTACACAAATACAAGGGATCTGACTCTAGATTCAACAGTGCTTATTAGGTGCTTACTTATAAAAAATAACAATATTACCGGTAAACCAACAAAAACAAAATATGAAACAAAATAGGGATCAAACAAACAAAATCAATAAAATTGACTTTTTAAGACAATAGTATGGAAGCCCTGAAAGGCAAGTGACCAAAAAAATCTGGATAAGAAAGGTTCTACGTTTTATTTTCTTTCTTTTTTTCTCCTGCCCTGAAAGGAATCAGGAAAAAAGCAGGGGTCTGGTTTCCAAGAATTATTGTCCTGCTGTCTAAACTGGATTTCTGACAAGTAAAAGAAGATATAATGAAGATACAAAACCTTTGTATTTGTTGGCAAAGGTGTGTGGTTATCATATTGACCTTTTATATCTATAAGCAACATAGAATTAAATACATAGTGGAGCCTGGATATTTGTATGATGTGAAATTACTTCAGTGCTCATAGTGGTAGAACATAATTTTCTTGTACTGTTTTTTTTTTTTTTTTTTCACCTGCATTTCAGGGCTTCTGTACAATTGCGCAATGAAGTGGGTGCAATGATGCAGGAGTAAATAAGTGTTGGTTTAATAGGGACAGAGCCACTGGGTTCATTCAAAGGAGTTGTGTCTGACACTGTGAGTCGGTCACAATTTTGACTTGTGTGAAGAAACTGTTCTGAATCTGTTGGTTTTGGCCTACAAAGCTCTGTAGTGCCAACCAGACAGGAAATGTTGAAACAAGCTGTGTCAGAATGAGATGCAGAGATCCAGCAGCTGGGAAGAAGAGGATCAGCAGCTTCTTAGGCAGGCTGAGCTTCCTGAGCTGGAGCATGAAGTATGAATGCCGCAGTGTTGGCTCTCACTTTAGGTCCTGAGATATAGTAGTTCCTAAAATCCTGATCCTTTTCACAGCTTACGCAGCGCATGCTGAGTGTGGTGATGGGGCAAAGTGGGGGGAGCCCTCCTAGAGTTCACAATCATCTTCACAGTTTTTAGTATGTTAAGCTCCAGGTCATCTTTGTCACACCAGAACACCATCTGATCAACCTCCTGTCTGAAGGTTAACTGATGAGTTGTATTAATGGATCTCTTTAGGAGAACCCTTGGTGTAGAACTGCAGTTGGGAGAGCAAACCTCTCTGGGGTTCCCAATGTTGATAGTTTGTGTGCTGAAAGTATTGACAGGAGTCAGCAGCCTTATCTGTTGATTCCTGTCAGTCAGGAAGTTTGTGTTTCACTGAGGTGGAAGCTAATTACTGCATCAATGTGCCATGATCAGTCTGTTAGTCCAGTGTGTCCCAACTTTTTTTGAATTGTGTACCCCTTTGTTCATTTTGTCTTACCATGAGTACCCCTTTCAGTCCAGTATCGATGATTGTGCAAAATTGAAATGTACAATAACTGCTTATAAAATAAAAACAATTTTAATTAATCTTTTCATTTGAGGATTTAATTCTTAGGCATTTTATGATTTCCACCTCAAATAAAAAACAAAAACAAAACACAAATATGTTGCCTGGAAGTAAGGACTCAAAATAAATACAACATAATATGATATTATAAACCTGTATTTATAAAACTAGAACTCTTGAAAAACTTCTTGAACTGGGAAAACAATACAGAACAAAAATTATGGTCAAACTGACTTAATTAGTTTTATTTTGTTTTCATCAAAACACCTGAGCTGCTTTGATGAGCTCTGATAGCTCAGTGAGAAAAGCAGCTGATACCAGGCTGTTCTTTAGATTCAGTCTCTTCCTCTTCTTAGTTGTGATGTGTATCAAAGCTGAAGGTGAACTCAAATATATGAGAAAAAACGTACTTTTATGTTGTTTCTTTTTGGATTTCTCAATAGGTTCTACACAAAGCAAAACAGATCCCACCCCTATTTTATTTTACCCCCTGGTTGGGGAATCACAGTGTTACTTTAATACAAATGGAGTATAAATAGCATTATTAAAGGCACCCTAGGCAGGTTCAAAATCCTGATTATTTCCTTAAGATAACATAATAATCCAGAATAAAAGAATGAGAAACTTTAAACTAGACCTCAAACAAATAGATTTTATCCCTCTCCTCTATTTCTCCAAAGACTGGGATCTTAATTTCCAAATGCTTTTATCTGAAAAAGCTTATTTAATTAAAGAAAGTTTGTTACAATACATGTTTTCTTCTATTTCACAACTATCAACAATTCTGTGATAAACTACATTAGATTCTAAGTAAATAAATTCAGTAAATTATTCAGTTTTAGGAAATTAGATCTGTTAGTGTTATTTGTGGCCAAGTGTAGCTAGCTTCCAACAGTAAATTAAAAAGTTGTGTAAGAACATTAGTGCTTACAGAATTAAGCTCCATCCTACCGGTTCTAAAGAAATTAATAATTTAACTATTGTCAAGCAAAACTGATTATATGGAGTTCATCACGGCCTAAATGTGTTTCCCCACAAAAAATTATTGAAGCAATCCTCATAATTAAAGAAATCCTAAATCTGAGTAAAGAAAAAAAAAAAAGAAGTGACAAGTAGAGAAGAGGCCTTTGCTTCTTTTCTCACTGAGATAAAGATTGTGCAATGATTTTGATTTAAAATTGTGCTGACAAAATATCTGTGACAAAAACTATGATTTTGTTAATGTGAGAATGTAACAAATTGTGACCCTTGGTGTTTCTGTAATAGGAATGAACAATTGATAAAGGTTTTAGGAAAGAGACAGAAGTTCATGACAGATTTATACAGACTATAAAATGAAACAGACACGAGGGGAAAGCAGAGTCTAGCAGATATGAAATTTACTCCGCTTTGAATTAAATATCTATTAAGGAAGTTAGTTCATTAAGAAGAAGATGTCTGGCCAGGGGACAAAGGTAAGTACAGGAAATATTTAGGGTGGCCCAGGGTTGACCTTGGATTATTTTTTGACTTACCTCACAGTTATCTGAAAATAAGGTGGTGTCTCGGTTCTGCTGATAAGAAACCATTCCTCTTCATAAAGACAGAAAGTGAGAATGATTTGGCTTTTTGCAAGTTCTGAAAATATACCTAGCAGCTTCCTCTTTTCTAAGACTTCCTGGGGTATTCATAGTTTTAGGAACTAATTCTAGCATCCCTCCCTCCCTAACAACTACAGGCCAGCTGAAACAAAATGAAAAGGGATTTTGAGGTTTGGATGCAAGGGTTGTATCAATTTTATATTTTGGTCATATCTTGCTGCTAATTATTTTTCCTGCCTGATTCTGGCTAATAAAAGATTAATATACCTCAGCATATGCAGTGTCATTGCATTTTCTGAGTCATCTGCTTCCTGGAAGTATTCTATAGTGTAAACAGACACATCTGGGTTCTATAGAATAAAATATGAGGTCTTTTAAAGGTTACCTATAGCAAAAAATGTAAAGACCATCCGAGGGACCTGTAATGATCACTAAATAATTACTGACCAGTATTACAACTGTTAATTGGACGGTAGCTGTCATGAATTGAGGGGACAGGAAGTAAATGGAGGACGTCGGCTGCTACATCATCCACCTGCCTGTTGAAAGACGATGGAGCCTGAAGATGGAGACAGTGTGATGGTCGGCAACACCCCCATAACGCTCACTAAGAATCCTATCTTGAATAAAAGTCTATAGGCTTAGGGATAATGAGCCGAGGTGCAAGACTTGGGAGAAGGAGTTTTAGTTACGACTTCAGATTTTTAAAGTATTTATATTTCTTTTAAGGACTTGAAGCTATCTAAACTAAGAGTTATTTTGAAAGAGAAAAATATCACTATATCCCCAGTAAGCTCGGAAAAACCTTAATGTTTTATATCAACATGACCAGTGTGGTTAATGAGGGTGTGATTTAGTGAACCTTCAGTCCATTAACTAATTGCTGCTTGCTTTATTTCTCTCGTCAGGCCTAGAGGTGGAGTTTGATATGCGCAGGGGACGAATAGACCCTCACTGCCTCCCTCCTGTGAGGGAGGAGGATGACGACGGCTTTATTGAAGACAACTACATCCCAGCTAGTGAGAGAGCCCGGGCAGAGAGGGCAGCTGAGGATATGGAGGAAGATACAGAAGAAGAGCTGGACGAGATTGAATTTAGCATCACTTAAGAGTCTCTGGACACTTGCAGTTTGGTGGTTGGACCAGAACTCCCAGCATCCATCGCTGCTCCATTTTCAGTTGTCTTATGAGTGGGTCTGATTTAAAGTTTTTCAAAGAAGATACATACTGTGTTTAATGGCATCACATTAGAATTAATAATTACACCATCCTCATAGTTAGGGAAGTTCTAAATCTGAGCTCTGAGGGCCCACTAAATTTTTTACAGCTGACAGTTTTATTTAGTTTTAAAGATCATTTTATTGTGTAAAAGTCAAAACTAGCAAGAAAGAAGTGCTTATCTTGAAAGATTAAAAAAGAAAATACTTATCCACTGATGCAATATTTCTAATATAAGGTCAACACATCCACAAGGCTGTTTAGTTTTCTAAGTGATGCACAGAACTGGGCTCCATTTTATTTGCACTCAGGAGTCAGATTTAAAATATAACAAGTGGGTAAAATCCATTGATGCTAGCACAAAGTCAAAATTACTTCATTAAAAGTATGCTGTTTTTGACAAACCTTGATCTTTAAATCCATTATGGATACCATCCAGTTAAACATGCAGTAAAAGAACTGATTATATGTGCTTTAAATACTTTCCTTCTCATTAAATCAGCAGCACATACAGTACTGGTTATTATGTATTTGTGAACTATTTGTGAATCTGAATGTATTGAATGTTATTAGTTTGTATAGCTAATAGTATGTAGCCATGTCCATTAAAACCAATAACCAGAAAAGTCTCCTGGTTTTCTGACATTTATGCGGCAGTAAAAGTGAGTTATGCAGCAGTAAATGAAAAAGTTTTTTTTCCATTAATTTATTTCTTAGCTGATATCAGAACATTCTAGATGTCACAGGTCCATATTAAATTATTTACAAATATCTACTATTCTTTAAGCCTATTCAGTTTGTTACAAATGGTTTTCTGAAAATGGTTCAAATTGTTCATGTTTTGGTTGCTTCCTTAACTCTTATAAAATATTTCATTGGGATTTAAATGTGAGGTTTTTTAAGTAAATTATTTTGCTTCTTTTGTGTTACTGAAGAACGAAAACTCTATACAATTACCTACCCACAACCACGAATGATCTCTTTTGTTACTATTATTTGTTTGGTTCGACTTTATATTTACACCTGTTATATATTTTGCCTCTGTATCTTAGTATCTCATACATTGTTTCTGTTTTAGACTAAATTTTATTTGAAATATATTCTATAATAATATGCTGAAAGTTAATTATCTTTATTTCAAGAGTAAAACATTATTTCTTTAGATAAAAAGTTTCTATATTTTGTGATGAACGGCAGGGTAAATATCAGTTCAAAGGTTTCAGAAACACCTAAAGAAAAGTTGTAGTTATATAAGTTTTTATCTGATTTTTTCCCCTATGCATTTGTCCAATTCTGCTTCTGTGGACATGCTTACATGTTTAGTTTCATAAAATCAATTTTTATAATAAACAAGGATAGCCTGGTTGAATTTAAGAAGCAGTTTTTGTTATTTGTTTTTATTAAAAGTGAAAAATGTGCTTAGAGTAAAAGTTTTTACAGGCCTTCTAGTATTAAACACTCTACTCAATCTTATAATTTCTTGAAGCATCTTTGGAAGCCACAATGGGCATCAAACATACAATAGCATCAAAGATGCAATAACTACTAATGACTCCTTCACATTTGTCTAAAGCAATTTTGCCAAACTCTTTCTTACAGAACTGCTTTAATTCAGTCCAATTATGGGATTTGTAAACAGTGACATTCTTGTGAAGGTCACAAAAAACAATCATTATGCTTTGGATCATGTCTTAATGCATAACACACATGCCAACACACATCATTTGTTTGCTCCTTCAGGATTTTTTTTTTTTTTGCCATTTTGCAATGTGCTTTGTAGGTTTTATGGCAAATTGGAATACCTTTTAACAACTAACCATTTTGCCTCATCAGAAGACAAAATATTTTCTCAAAAGTCTTTAGGATAATAAAATAAGGAATAATAGAACTGTCCTATTAATGCATCATTTGCTCTGCCTGTTTCTTTTTTTTTTGAATAATGAAAATAGATTTTTTTTTCTTTATTTCCTGCTGAGGTTTAACACTGTATGTTTTCTGCTGTTCGTATAAAGGCATTGATCATAAATCTTCTTGAATATACCCCTACCAAACTTAGCGATCCTCTCCAAAATGACAGACATCACCAACTTTATCAGTCATTCATTGTCAATTTTTTTTAATTAGGACATAATATGTCGTCTTTTAGGATCGTTCTGTCTGCCTGGTATGATCGGAGGTGCTCTGTGATTTGGTGAATTTAAACATTTTACTAGCTGGGTTAAGGTGTTGCTTTTTTTGTGAATTTATATTCAAGCCCATCCAGGTTGGATGCCATATTTATGTTGTAAATAACTGTTAAATTCAATTTCAGCCAGCTGGGAATTCATATTTTCTGATACTTTAAGATGTTCATTGCCCTCCATGGTAGGGGTGGTAAATATATATTTTTTAATCAGATATTATTCAGGCTTTTATATATTGTTTATGAACACACGCCCTGCGAGCTGTGTGTTACTACACTAAATGAAAGAGTGATTTGAGCACTAATCATTGTCAAACAGTTAATTCTGCACATACGTGGAATAAATTCACCACAACTTCTATTAAAAATATAAGAGTTTATTAACAAAATCAGCTCCAAGTCAAACATATTTCAGTTTATAACTCTTAACTAAAACTTGTGAAAATCAACTAAATTAAACTACTATGTACTGTACAAAGAGGAAGAGGAAACATGGTTGGAAACCATATTACAGTTTAAGATGGATTTGTGTTTATCTGCAAGAATTTGGGATATGATCAAATTAGCGTTTCACTAATTTAGAGCAATTGGAATGTTTTCAGACCAATTCACAATGCAAATCCATGAGGTGAATAAACATTATTTGGCCAAATAATGTTTTATTAAATGATTTGCCTAATCAGGAACCAGTAACCTTTAGCGAAATGATTATTTACCCTCTTTGAAATAGCTAGCAGCGAATAGACATGAGGATTCCATTAAATGACTCTTGGTCATTCTTGGTAATCTAATGTAATGAGCATACGAGGAACACATGAACACTAATGTTATATCAGTCTTTAAACCCTTAGTGAAATAAAGCTTGTCCAAGCTTCAACAACAGCTCAAAACATATTACTGTAGCATAGTATTGCATGCAGTCCATCCTGTTAGCATTGTCTTTACCCATCAGTAAACACATGAAATGGTCAAAATGATAAAAAGACATATTGTTTGTTCTGTCCCTAATTGTGCCAGACCTGCAAACCTTTTGTCCATATCCATTTGGAAAGCTTGAGTTTTCATCCAGCAGCAGCTTAGCAGGCAGGCTCACAGCAAGGTGGGGGTTATCTTGTCCACGTGACCCACACCAAAGGATCCTTAGGAGACTTTCTCAACCAGTCTGGCCCTGTAGGTTCTAAAACTCAAGAGAAATGTGTTGCAAAAAGTCTGTTTTGCAGCAGTTTGGTTTTGAAAAGTCAACCTTCATGACTTATCCTTGATCATTCTGGAGATCTAGGCCTTTTGGCTAGATCTACATGGCGGTTGTCTCTTCCGATGTGGACCCTCAGGCAGCCTCATGAGAAAAAGAGTGAAATCCTGTGTGTTGTGTGGTTTTCATTGTCCTTAACAAGAGGGGGGTGGAAATTCACACCTCTGTGGGAGTTTCTGTGGAGGCAGTTGGCTGAAAGGGGGGATCTGCTGTTTGTCTGCTGTTTGTCAGCTGTTTATGAGCCAAAGCTACCTCTTCTCCGGTCATCATGTCTAGATGAAACATGGACACTGGTTCTCAATGTCCACAATCATGATTATAGCACATGGCACAACACTTTTTTAGCTTTAAATTTGAAATTCTCATTGGATCCCTGCATTTTTTGTCAAACTAGTACTCTTTGTGTGATTTTCATATTAAAAAAACTTCATAAAAAACACTGTATTTAACATTTCTTAAAGAGCTTCAAGATAAAGATAAAAAAAAGCAAAAAAGAAATAAAAAAAATCAGTAATAACGAGGAAAAGTGGACCTCTCAGGTGGTTGGGGAGTGTTTCAAAGGCAAAGGCCTGATGAAGAGTAGGCCAAGTCACTCACTGGCTGCAAAGAAGTACAATTTTGGAGGAGGTTGTTATTGTGTGAGCAGAGTGAATGAATAGACAAGTGGTGTGTGAGTAGGGCCTTCAAGTATTCAAGAGCATTGCTATGAATTCTGTGGTCGGTGTTAAGGGGCAATTCTATAATGAATCCAGCAGGGAATGGGGAGCCACTGATGTTTTTGGAGAATTGAGGCGAAATGTTCCATTCTGTGAACTTTCACAAGGATTCTTGCAGCACACTTCTGGATGTCTTGCAGCTCTTTCATATCCTTTACAGGAGTGAGGACATTGCAATAATTAAGACTGGAGGAGAATGGCAAGAAGCAATGGTTTAAGGGTCATTGAGGTTAAGAGAGGATGGATTTTGGAGAAATGTATAAAGTGGAAGAAATCAGTTTTGAGCAGGTGAATAATGTGGTTTTTAAATGAAGATTATGATGATCTAGTCTCACATTGATGTCTGTCACTGTAATAGAGAGAGGGAATCTTAACTGGAGAAGTTGATGGCGTTATGAAAAATTATAAATTTTAAAGAGGGGGACAACTTAGTATCCGTTCAATTTATCAGTAATGCTTACCTGGTGAAAGCTGTGGCCAATCCATGTTTCTTCTTCCCTTTAAGCAGGCGTTAAGGGTGAGAGTTTTAACATCTGTTTATTCTTAAATAGTGTGATAAAATAATAATTTTTAAAAAAGAAACGTCAATGTTAAACAGCCCATATTTCCACCCTTTACTTCTACTGAGCAAATGTCATCCCTTTCAGGTGAAAAGATCTATTTGTTACATCAAATATGTAGTTACACTAGATCAAATTGTATAGCTTGGGACCTCCTAAAGTTATAAAATAAATTTGATTTTTTTTTTTTTTACGCACAAAATAAGTCTGTACTGTGTGTAAATAGATATAAAAATTTGAATTAAACAATCCCCCAAAGGTTAGTTTAGTTTAACATTATATACTTTTGTTTAAATATATATTTAACATATTGCTTAACACCATTTTAATTCTCATTGTATTTTTAGTCCTGCAACTTTTAGATTCTAGCCATTTTCAGTAAACCTGCATGGGATACAAGCATTTTTTGCATAATGTTCTTACATTAATCTTTTTCTTTTATATATATAAAAAAAAAAAAGCCCAAATATATTCTATAAATCAATTGGATGAATTTATAAAATATTAAGAATTAAAGACCTAAGAATTAACCATAACCTGGCATTTCTGTATCAAAAACATGGCTTTGATCCAACAGACACTTTGCAAGAAACATCATTTTGGGTTTTTCATAGCTACCAGCCAAAATGTATAGCAGCGAGGGAATACATTGGACAAAGATATTGTGATAAAAACTCGTTATACTGTATATTTCACCTTTTTTTTTTTCTTAAATTAAGAAATGTTATATACTCAGTTTGTTTCATGGACCCATTTAAAGTATTTTAATTGGTCACTGAATTCACTATAATAGCTTTTTATTTATTATTAAATAAGAGCTTAAGGCTTATTGTGATAATTAGCAAAAATTCTGTATCTGAGAAACTTCAGTAAAATTTCACATTTACCTGTAAGAAATATATATATAAAAAAACTACGAGACAATCTTATATGTAGATCCAGTCGGGTTTGAATTGTAGGAGATATATTTTGAATTTATTTGCTTTATCAAAGACCAACTCCAGTTACATTCACCTTCTTCTTAAAACTCCTCGACTCTGACATAAACAACATTAACTAAGCTTGGCACTGCGCGCTGGGTCGAGCCCTTCAGCGTTTCTGATCCTGTGAGGCCACGCGGCTGATGAGAGCAGCCTGACAGGTCTGCGTGGAGCTGTCAGGCGAGGCTGCATCCGGAAGCAGGTCAAGTTCACACCAAAACCGGAAGCAGAACATTCATGTCTTCTAAATAAAACCCTAAATAATTCTCTCTGGCAGGTCACGCCCTTTTCATTAGGCCTACGGGATCCAAGCAGAAAATAGATAGATATTCCATACAATAATATTATAGCACAGTATTTGCTAATTTTTTTAACAAACATTTTTAGGGAGCAAAAAACAAGAACACAGTCTGTAATTTAAAGATATATTGTATTAAATCAAACTTAAATGTCTTTTTGTCTATAGGCTAGATCAGAGGTTTTCATCAGGGGGTCAGCGACCCCTAAGAGGTCCGCAGAGGTACTGCATGGGGGTCGTGAAAGTTTTGGTTGATTAGACTTTTTTTATTTAATTCCCCCCTGCAATTTTTTAGACCTAATTGAAAGTCTTTCAATACACATTAATATGAATTCAACACACTGTAGTAAAGAGAGAAATGGAGTCATCAATGCACACATTTAGAGACACACAGGAGCTCTTTCACGCTGGCACCGTTTCATTCACAACACCTGTCCCATCAGCAAGGAATCAGAATCAGAAACACTTTAATAATCCCAGGGAGAAATTACTTTCGTTATATGACAGCATCTGTAATAGAGTGACTATAGGACCAGTTTGATATAACACAATTTCATACAATATATATAATTAGGGGGTCCCCGCTCCAACTCACAATCAGTTTGGGGGTCCTTGGCCTGGAAAACGTTGAAGACCCCTGGGCTAGATCATTCATTGTAGGATCATGAGCCTGGTTCAATCATTTCCTTACACAGTAGATAAATAATTTATATAAAGAAACATGTGCCCATAAAAGAGTTAAAAGCATAAATAATATTGAAATGAAAACTTATCATCATAAATATTTTAAGATAATTCAGTTTATTTTATTTCTTAAAGGAAAAAGGTTCTAGATAAGACTTTTGGCCTTGCCTCTATCATGATCAAATCTCCTTTGCAGCATTTTGAGAGGATTTTACTTATTGCTTTAATCCTAAAATCCCACTCATATTTCCAAGTAATTTCCCAAAAAACATTTACCTTTTTATTAGTATTATTTTTTATAATTTTCTATTAATTCACTGCTTGTCCTGTGAGTGTTAAATCTTTGCATTTCTGCCTAAATCTGAGGCGCACCAGAAGGTAACCAGGTTTGTACCTTTTTAATCAACACAACATTCAGTTAAAACGGACTTAAATACTCTCCAACCTTTTTTAAAGTAAAATAAGTAAATAAAAATAAAAAAATTCATGCCGATGATGAACCGAGATCGATTGAGGCTATTTCACAGCCGGAAATCCTACTTCCGTAAACACAGTGAGTTTGACGCTCCGGAAAAGCAGCGCAGCAGAGAAACGCGCAGACAGAACAGCGCGCTGCTGAGAGACCAGAGGAGGAGGAGGAGGATGGGAGCGACTTCTTCTCCCATTTATATCCATATCCA